GATAAGGTCTTGCTTTCTCTGAACTCTTATTTCACTTAAGTTTCAGGCTCTAGTTCCATAGCTCTTCTAGATAGTACAAGATTCTTAAGTTCAAAAGGATTTCAACTGTTAATCACATAATCATTAACGTTCTTCTAATAAGAAATCAAGATTGAGAATTCTGCTTTCTCTGTAGGCTCAAACTTCTGATAAGAAATCTTCGTTTAAACCAACTTGTCTAGCAAGTTCCAAAAACAACTGCATTCCTTAAATCACTGAGTTGCATATCACTGACTTCTCTAGAATTTCTACTTCTGATTTCAGCCTGGTCCCAACACTCTAGCGTTTCACATAGAGAGACAGATAGACAGACACAGACAGACAGACAAACAAGACAATGAACTGACTAAAACACCACACATACATGTGCACATATCTGTAGTTGATCGATCAATCTGACCCTTCAAAAAAAATGGCAGGGAGAAACTGATGGACTGAGAAAGGAAGGGACTGTCCCCAGGGCGAAGAAACCTTATCGCTGATTGGGAACTCTGCTCCCCATTTCCCAGTCTCCCGCTTGTTAAAAATGGGTCAAGAAAGCGCTTTTGTTGATATAAGCCGGCAAAATAAACTATGACAAAGATGTTACCATATTTTGGCCAAGGCTAAATCTGAGGCAGGGAGCTAGTATCATGATCTTGCATTTTCCTGCCTCCTCTGCTTTGATAATCCTATTTCTTTTGTTACCTATGAAGATCTGACTGCAGAATGATCTGGTAATGCAAACTGCCATTCACTGTATATCCTTCCCAATATTCTAACTTATACTCAGGCCACGTGGTGTTACAGAGGTCAACAAGATATTCCTTATCTAAACTATCTACTTGGAAGCTCTTCCGGTGTTTTAAGAGCAACCCAAAGGAGAATATTTAGGTACTGATGTAGAATTTCCCATATCTCCTAAGTGTCAGCAATAACCTATGAAAGGGAGGGAAAAGAAAAATCTAGGGTAGGATAAGTCCTTAGCATGCTCTCCTCCTAATAGTTTCTAGTGTTGTGGTTCTAGAGAGAGCACGGACACGACCACAACTGCATGCCAGCCCATCAGAAAAATCTCTCTTTAAAGGATGTCTCCTTTAGAGATTTCTGAGTCACCCTAGGAATCCCTGGGTCCTGCCTCCCGAGCGTCCACACAACCATGGCTTACACGTGTGGAGCCATACCTAGAGTGCCATGGGTTTCCAATAAGCCTATTAAGGGGAGAAGAGAAAAGTTCTGCCTTTCTTAGCTTGCCACATATTCCAATGTTCCCTGCTGACACTTTCTTCCACAAACTTCTTGTCTGTCTTTTTACCTTTTTTTTTCTCTGCTTCACTTTGCCTAGGGCTAAACCTGCTGACTGCCTCCATTAGCATTTGAATTGACCTCTAGCTGATTCTGCTGGTTAGAATGCTTAAGAAAGGGATTTCTAACTAGAAATTGATCTGCCTTAGTTTACCAGGATCTTCTCACTAGTGGGCTCTCATCCCATAGTGGACGGTGATGCGAGACAGACAAAGGAGGGGTGCCTCTTTGCAGAGACCATTCAGATGCTTGCCTGGCCGGAGGAGAACTTAGCCTTAGTGGTTCAGCGTTGTGACTTGCGACCGGTAGCTATACCAGTGCCACCATTGACCGTATGTTCTCCGTGGAGTCGCAGGCAGCCCACTCGAGCTCCGTGACTTTAGAGGGACTTTAAGAGTGCCAGGTCGTGGAGCTACAAAATCACGCCCGATAGGAGGACCTATCAGGGTGCTCAGACACACACACATTCACACAGAGGTTATCACATTCCTCCCCCAGTCCCCCTAGAGATTTCCAAGGGAGCATACCTTCACAGCAGATCTTCCACAGATTGCCTCCTTTATCCGAGCCACAAGGTTTGGAGAGAAGGAACCTCCTGGGGGCCAATCCACACCAAAGGAAGGCCATTCTGATGAACAATAATTGGCAAACTTACCTTTCTTGATCATCAAGCCCAGATTCTGAGCTTTCCTGTGGATCTCAGAGAAGTGATCAAGAATTAAAGCTTTGGGGGTCGATTGATTCTGACCCATATTAAACAATCTCAATAAACAGAACTAAGAGAAGGATAATAAGACAAATACACACACTAAGGACACACGCACAGATCACACTCCTGCACTCGCTCGGACCGGTCCACTCTCTCACACGGGTGCGCACCACACTCACCAGTCACCCTGGGACTCCCGAATATGCCCAAAGGGCGTGCACGTGATTTTCACCTCCGGAGGGTTCAGCTCTTCCAGGTCTTCTCCCGGCGCCGGATTTTCCAGAACAGATGAGGCCTCCAGAACAGACAGACGAGGACCCGAGGAAACCCTATGTCCCCCCAAGTCCTCCCAGTCAGGGTTGGCCACTTCCCTGCCGCGGTCCAGAACAGACGAGGCCTCCAGAACAGACAGACGAGGACCCGAGGAAACCCTATGTCCCCCCAAGTCCTCACAGGGTTAGCTACTTCCCTGCCGCGGTCCAGAAGGGGACACTGTCCCCCCACAGAACAGACGGAATATTCCCCAGAAATTTTTTTTTTTTTTAAGGCCTTTTCAAAACCCGCTCTCTGGGCCCGTTTGCCGTCGGGAGATCTCGCTGGGGCCTCCAAATGTTAGGGCGCAGATCGTGATCTCCCTTTAACGACAAAGAGACTCCAGAGACTGCAAACAGCAAGCAAGGTTTATTGTAAGACTGGCTAGCCAGGGTCAAGCCGCCTACACAGACACGCAGGTCAGTTAGGTGAGGCAAGACCCCGAACTTCTTCAAAGGGGATCTTATATAGGCCTTCACTGGCCGTTACAGCAAAGCCCGCGCATTTCATAGCCAATAGATTTGTAACAACATATGCTTTCTTAACCAATCCGTGTAGAAGTACATCACTCCTTAGCCTATAGATTCAAAGATCAGCATTTACGTACATAGGCATTGTGACTAGTGGGCATCAGGTAACTTGGACATTTGGTTATCACCTTGCTTCCTCTGATTCTCAGCCCTGCATTCCGGAGGTGGATAAGGGAAGAGTTCTTAAGGGAGGTAACAGATAAGGAGGGCAGGAAAGGGAGAGTTACTAATTTATAGAGTTTTAACTCTGGAATCTCCCTCAGGGTCCCTAGGGACCTAACATAAGTAATGTTATGAATACCACAGAATAAGCAAATTGAAATTTTTTTCCCTTTGTTTTTGGGCCATACCTGGTGGTACTCAAGGCTTACTCCTCTCTTTTTTTTTTTCTTTTGGGTCACACCTGGCGATGCACAGGGGTTACTCCTGGCTCTGCACTCAGGAATTACCCCTGGTAATTAGGGGACCATATGGGATGCTGGGAATCAAACCCGGGTAGGCCATGTGGAAGGCAAAAGCCCTACCTACTGTGCTATTGCTTCAGCCCTGGCTTACACTTATTTTTGTTTGTTTGTTTGTTTGTTTGTTGAGTCACACCCGGCAATGCACAGGGGTTACTTCTTGCTCTGAACTCAAGAATTACTCCTGGCAATCTTCAGGGGACCATATGGGATGCTGGAAATCAAACCTGGGTCAGCCACGTGCAAGGCAAAAGCCCTACCCACTGTGCTATTGCTCCAGCTTACACCTCTTGACTGTACTCAAGGGTCACGCCTGGACATTATCAGGGCATCATATGTGATGCTGGGGATCAAACCCTAGTCAGCTGCATGCAAGGCAAATGCCTTAACCCCTTAAGTTGATTTTTTGGGGGATTTGAACCACACCCAGTGCTGCTCAGGGCTTATTCCTGACTCTGCACTCAGTAATTACTCCTGGCAGGGATCAGGGGGACCATATGGAATGCCCGAGGAGTGAACCTGGGTCCGCTTGTGTGCAAGGCAGGTGCCCTACCCACTGTACTATTGATCCAGCCCCCTCAAAGTAATTTTCAGTGGTGCCTTGGTAGTTACAAATTGGCACAGGGAAGCGCAGGGAGGCAGACTGCCTGGTGTCAGCCACCAACTCTGTCACTTGTGAGTTTGGGCAAGTCAGTCCTGTCTCATCACTCCATTTCCTTGTCTGGAACCTGGAATAGCAAAATTTTTATGGCTTTTAGAATATCTTTTCTGGCACATCGTCAGCATGACATAAACTTTAGTTACACAGAAATTTGTTTTATTTACATGTTTTTGGTTGCAAGGAAAGCTGTCTGGTACTCAACATAGAAGAACACCATAGAGCAGAAAATAAGACAGATCTAGGGCATTTGCTTTGAGATGTAGAGGCATGAGGTGTAGGAGGGAGGGAGAGTTGTGGGCCTTTACACTGCTGACTAGTAAAGCAATCCTGTTTTAGTCCATTCTTTGACTTTTCCCTGTCTGACCTTTGTCTCACTGGCTTTCTCTGCTGGGGTAGTCTTTTTGCCAGCATGGCCCAGCCTACCAGGTCCTGTTTGTCTTTCTGAGAAAGAGACTGTAATTAGCTCCAGGCATTTGCTTTGAGTGGGAACTTGCATATCAAAGGAGCTGACTGCCTGGGGAGTCCTTGCCCCAGGAATGGGTCACTCTTATGACCCAGGCACTGTGCTGGGGGTGACCAGGTTATATTGTGTGGAGCTTGGATGGTCATGGTCCAGGGAAGTCACTGTAAATTATTAATTTTGGTAAGACCTTCAGGTCCTCAACTTGTTTCTGTTCTTAGAATTTAAATGAACATAACATTTAAAGCATTTCAGGACACCCAGCCAGAAGTGTTATCTCTGAGAAGAAGTAGCTGCCAGACAGTCTTTCTTTTCTGATTGCTCTCATTTTCCTCCTGGGAGGGAAATGACTTTCCATTTACACTATTGGATAGAGCTAGAGCTGTAGGTTTTAGATTTGGAAATGTTGCAGGTATTTATAGGGTTGGTAGATTGTTTTCTGTCTCTAGTGATGTCAGCATTTAAATGAGGCAAGTAGTGAGTTGAGTATCTGTGTTAAAAATGCATAGTCCCTAACCTTTCTTTCATTTGATTTTTTTTATAGCTTTTGACCATATTTGGGAATTTTCTAGAGAAACCAGTTGTTATGGAAATTTTTAGCCCACATTACAGCACACTGGTGCACATGTTTGACACAGAGTTGGATATGTGTAAACAATTGTATAATGAACACATGAAACAGGTAAGTGGGGCATGAAGTTGAACATGTCCACATATCAGCTTTGTGGGTGAGGACACTATAGAAACACATTTCAAAGTATCTGAAGGTTAGAGACACTGAAACCTTTATCCATGTTTAATTGGCTTTCTTCATGGAGATAAAGAACCTGCTTGGGACCATAACTCTTCTATGTATCACATTACGTCACACATGTTTTATTACTAGTACTATGAAAGTACCCAAATGAGCCTTTGCTTACAGCGATGGAATGCATGCTGATTAAATGTTGTCTTCTTCCTCACCACAATACCAATTTGCAGATTGAACAGGGAAATGTAGTTCTTAACAAGAATATGCCATTTACCTCAGGAAATATCAAATGGGTTAAAGAGGTTCTTGAACGGCTTCAGACATTTTGGTCAAACTTTGCATCACTCCATTATCTGTAAGTAGTTGGTCATATTTCATGGTAAAATGACCCAAATGATTGAGATCATTATTCATTTTAGCACCTTTGACTATGCTTTTTGAGAATGATTCATGTCTGTGGTTTTGTTTATGTTCATCACTGTGATGGAGTCAAGCAGGAATCTTTTGACTTCATATTTCCCGATGTTTTCAGATCATTGTTTTCACTCTTCCTTTTTACCAACTGTACCCACTTGTTTTGTTGGTGTTTTTCTTTCCTCTAATCAATAACACTCCTATTTTGTACACTTTACATGCCTTTCTTTATTCTTTGTAAGAACTGGAAACTTGTTACTGGCATTCAGGAACATCTTTGGTGTTACATTAATTCTTTTTTTCTTTAATTCTTTTTAAAATTTACTTGCTGTGACTGACAAAGTCATTCATAAGTAGATTATAGCAGCAATGTTCCTCCACCAGTCCCTCTCCAGTGTCCTTCATTCACTTTTTCATAATATGTTTTGAAGCAAAAACAACTTAGAAGTGTTATTTGACTTTTGTAATTTCTCATCCTGTTTATATAGTATATTTCACTGTATTTTCTATTGTGTATTGTATTAAAGCATTGATGACTGTGTAATATGTAGAAAAGTACAAAAATCACATTCCTACAGATTCTTGGGAAGTCCTGATGATGTCTTAGTTTATCAGAAGTATGTTGAAATGACAACTTTGTTAGACCAATTTGAAAATCATATCTATAATGAGTGGAAAAGTAACGTGGATGAAATTTGCGAATTCAATTTGAATCAACCCTTGGTTAAATTCAGTGCCATCAATGGGCTTCTTTGTGTCAACTTTGATCCAAAGGTAAGGATTTGATGTTTCTAGGATGTTTTATAAATGCCATTTTCTACCCTAAGTGTATTCATAGGTTTTGAGGGAGAAATGCAAGTGCTATGAGAAATATACTATAAACAACTTTCAATAGGTCATTCTCACAGTGATTTGTATCCCAAATGATTATTTTTGTGTAACACAGCTACAATAGTGTTAATATTTATGCTTTTGGTACACAAAGTTACTACATCTCATCACCACCAAAGTGCCAAGACCCCGTGATATTCAAATTATGTTTTAATTACTCTTTCGTTTTGCTTTGTAATTATTAACTTTTCACACCTCCACTGGATACTGAGTTGAGAAAAGTACCCATTTTATTATTTGTGTTCTGTGTTTGAAGCATAATCTCCGACAATTAACAATAATAAATATTCAACTTATTGAATCATTAGTATTTAGTAATTTAATTTATGAACTGAATAGATTATATTTTGAATAATATTTGTAATGCAGATACCAGATTTTTACTTTTTATTGAATCACTGGGCTGGAGCTATAGCACAGCGAGTAGGGCCTTTGCCTTGCATGCAGCCGACCTGGCCGACTTGGGTTGGATTTATCCACCCCTCTCAGAGAGCCCGGCAAGCTACGGAGAGTATCTTGCCTGCACGGCAAAGCCTGGCAAGCTACCTGTAATGTGCTCAATATGCCAAACACAGTAACAAAAAGTCTCACAATGGAGATGTTACTGGGCCCACTGGAGCAAATCAGTGAACAACGGGAGGACAGTGCTACAGTGCTATTGAGTCACCATCATGATCACGATCATCTTGTTCGTTGATTGCCTCAAGCAGGCCCCAGTAATGTCTATTCGTCCTAGCCCTGAGATTTTAAAAAATGCCATATTCAAGGCTCTTTCAGGAATAGGAGAATGAGACCCATCATTGTTACTGGTATTTGGCATATTGGGTATGCCACAGGGAGTTTGCCAGACTCTGCCGTGTGGGCAGGTAACATTTGGTAACCTGCCAGGTTGTCCACAGTAAGAATGAGATAATAATATGTCGCGTGGCCACTGAGTTTTATAGTCTCTGGGTCTTGGCTGTTGATGGGATTACACGGCGCCAGGGGGCCAGTTGGTGGGTGTGATCCCTGCCTACTGGAATTTGGAGGATCTGGGTGGAGGATGCTCAGCCCCGATCTGAGCAGGCTTGGAGATCTCAGCCCCGGGACCCGCATGCCTTTGTTCCTCTGCCGGTACCTTCATGTGCGTGGAGAGTGGTCTCAGCATGGTGGTGGCTGGTTCTGAAGGTCTTCGGCTGCCGGAGCTCTGTTCGGGGCGGGGAGGGAAACTCGACCCGCCCCCCTCCAAGGGGACCTGGGGAGGACATCCAGGCATGGGGGCAGGAGACTCTGCCTGAGTCACCATGAGATTTACAATTATAGAGTTGTTCATCAATTGGTTTCAGTCACACCATGTTTTAACACCTATCCCTTCACTATTGTACATTTCCCATCACCAATATTGCCAGTTTTCCTCTCATTCCTCCCCACCAACCTGTCTCTGTGGCAGACACTTCTATCTCCCTCTCTCTCCCTCTACCTTTCCCTCTCCTTCTCCTTTGGGGCTCTGTGGTTTGCAATACAGGTACTTAAAGGTTATTATGTTTGTTTCTTTACCTACTTTCAGCACCCAGTTCTTGTCCAGAGTGATCACTTCCAACCATTATTGTCATAATGTTTCCTTCTTTATCCTAACTGCCTTCTCACCCAACACTTGAGACAGACTTCCAACCATCGACCCATCCTTCTGGCCCAAGTTTATATTGTCCTAAGTCTCATATTGTGTTTTTTTTCCTTCTTTTTGGCTTTTTGGATCACACCTGAAAATGCTTAGGGGTAACTTCTGGTTATACACTCAGGAATTACTCCTTGCGGTGCTTGGGGGGCCATATAGAATCCTGGGATTTGAACCCTGGTTGGCCACAGGCAAGGCGAACTGCCTAGCTGTTTTATTATTGCTCCATCCCCCCTGCTATGTTTTCTTATATTCCACAAATGAGTGCAATCATTCTATGTATATCCCTCTCTGACTTATTTCACTCAGCATTATATCTCCATGTCCATTCATTTATAAGCAAATTTTATGACTTCATTTGTCCTGGTGGCTGTGTAGTATTCCATTGTTTAGATGTAACTTAGATTCTTTTATCCAGTCATCTGTTCTAGGGCACTTGGCTTGTTTTCAGATTCTGGCTATCGTGAACAGTGCTGCAGTGAACATAGAAGTGCAGATGGCTTTTTTTGCAGTGTGTTTTTGGATCCCCAGGATATATTCCCAGAAGTGGTATTGCTGGGTTGTATGAAAGCTCAATTTCTAGTTTTTTGGGATTGCCCATATTGTTTTCTAAAAGGGCTGGACCAGTTGGCATTTCTACCAGCAATGATTGAGAGACCCTGATGGTTAGTGATATAGAGCATTTTTTCTGTGGCTTTTGGCCATTTGATACCAGTCCTTTTAAAGATTCATACATTAAAATTTGGGAAGGGGCTGGAGTGATTTTACGATGGGTGGGGGGGGTTTGCTTTCCATACAGCCGATCCAAGTTCAATTCCTGGCATCCCCTATGGTCCCCTGAGCACCAAGAGGAGTAATTCTTGAGTGCAGAGCCAGGAATAACCCCTGAGCAGCGCTGGGTGTGACCCAACAAGACAAAGAAAAAAATTTGGGCAAGCCACAGAATCCTTCTGCCATGCTTTAGGTAGACAGTGTTAAACTTTTATTTCAGAGGGACAAGAAGATTGAACATGTTGGTTAAATTGATGTTGTTGTAAAAAAACTAACAGTTTTCAAAAGATATAAAGCAACTTGTAAATGGGAAAATTGATATTAATAATGTAGATGAACAATATCATTATTAAACCATCTTTTGTTATATAAAGTATGGAAACTAATACAAATGACATGTTCCTGCTACATATAATATACTGAATATGTATATATAATGTGTGTATAAATATACATATACATACATATACCTATATATGCACACCTGTACATATATTGGGGGAGGGAGCATCCTGGTGTTGCTCAGGGACTACTTACTGCCAGCTCTGTGCGTGGGAGTTGTTCCTGACAGTAGTCAGGGGATCAACCCAAGCCTCCCACATCTATGCACTCAGACACTAGGTCTCACTCTCTAGCCTGCCAGGTATTTCTTTTACATAAGCATCCTCCGCAATACTAGATAGGACATACAAAATAAATTTTGTTTCCCTATGCAATTAGAGGCTTTGCAGAAAAGGAAAATCATATATGAATATTATCCTGTAAGTTTCCCTGACAAAATAATTTTAAATATATGATTGAATTTTTAGATAACAACCATAAATCCACTTCTGGTGATTTCCCTGTCTTCACAGTACTGTAAAAGTATGCCTAGAATATGGGAAAGTTAGCTTTATTGGGGTAGATGGTCATAATCTAGATACAAATTCTGATCTTTTCCCTAAAATTATAATATCATCATTGATTTTTTTTTGTAAACTTCAGTGCACAGACATTGTGTGTGTGTGTGTGTGTGTCCTACAATAGTCACATTGTTTCTAACCATGATCTTCTTCCAAAATTGGTTACTTTCTGTGACCTCCCTTTCCTACCAGTTGGCCTCCTAATCTCATCCTATAGCCCTCCACTTACATGGTTTCACCCCAGGGCTATTGAAGGATTGAGTTACTCTGTTTTCAACTGAGAAATGCTGCTCTGAGGAGTCAGGACTGAGGAGTCCCTCTCCCTTATTGATTTCATAAACTCAAGTTATAGAAATGAAATTGCTAAAATTCTTTAGGGATAATCCTTAGGATTTTACCCAAAGGAATTATATAGATTCAAAAAACTATTGTGTTAGTTAATATGGAATGAAATAAAATGGCAAGTGGTATACTAATTTTATCACATTGTGCAGTCTGCTCAGAACCCATGACTTAGGGAGACAGTGATTTCTGCTGCAAAATGACTTGGTATTCCTCCAAATCATTTCCCTTTGAAGATAGCCCAATAAAATTCATTGGACTTTGGGGGAGATGGGAGTTATGGCTATAGATGTAACTTAAAATCTTTCAGTGATATATTTAAAAAATAGAAACCAAAGCAGAACAGCATCTTGAATATGGTGTGTGCATATGAGCATGTTGCATGTTTCTAAGCTTCTTGGTTCAGTTGGATGCAGTTTTTAAAAATGCTTAATGTTCTTCATGATAAAAATTGTCAATAGGTAAGCAACACAAAGTTGGTAGTATGCACAGATTGCTCTCTTTTATGTCAGTCACATTAGAACAAATTTGTATTTTTCTACAAGAATGACAATACTGAGCAAAGAGGGAGGTGTCTTGACTCTCTATTACAGGTCTGAGTATGCATGTACAACTGTATTTTGCTGAAAATATATGTAACAGTGAGACAAAATCTATTGCCAGTACCTTCATTTATACTTTCATTTCCTGTGAAATGTTTTTTTCCCCTTTCATAAACAGGTATCCTTATTGCAACAATTTGAAACTATGAAAATAATTTTTAAAAAAAGCTTTAAAAGTTTTGATTTTAGCTTGTGTTAGAATGATATTTTAATATAGGTAACAACTCTTGATTTTCTTTTAAAAGCTAGTGGCTGTATTGAGAGAAGTAAAATACCTTTTGATGTTGAAGAAGTCAGACATTCCGCATTCGGCATTAGCCATCTTTGAAAAAAGAAACACCATTTTAAAGGTTTGTGTGTTTAGAGGTCGGGCAGATTTTGAACATGAAAGCAAATCATAGTGTTTGATTTTGTTTGGGGGCCCTACCCAGCTGTGCTCAGGGCTTACTCTGGCTCTGTGCTCAGGAATCACTAATGGTGGCTCAGGGGGCCATATTGGGGTGCCAGGGATCGAACCCGTGTTGACTGTGTGCAAGAAATGCGCCTTACCCATTGTACTATCTCTCCAGCCTGAAAACACATCAGATTTTAATTGATCATCTGTGGGCCAATCATGCTTAAGATAGCAAAGGTAATTTTGTTTATTTGGGGATTTCTCCCTTGCACAGTACATTGGAAATCTTGAGCTTCTTGTGCAAGGCTACAATAAGCTGAAGCAGACTCTCCTGGAAGTTGAATACCCACTGATTGAAGGTGAGCTGAAGTCTCTGGATGAGGAGCTGCAAGCGGCAGCGACCTCACTGACGTGGCAGCATGACTGCTGGGGGTACATTGAGCGGGTGAGAATAGCCACCTCCGAGCTGGAGCGCAGAGTCGAGCACACCCAGAGCAACGTGAAAGAGATCCAGCACACCATGAGGGCCTGGGCCGAGTGTCCACTCCTCCCCAGAAGGGAGCACAGGAAGGACACAGCCTTGACATTGGAGGACAAAGGTGATTTGTTTGCTAAAAAATACAAGCTCATCCAAGAAGATGGCTGCAAGATCCACCACTTGGTTGAGGTAATTTATCCATCACCTTTTCCTCTAGTTTAGAAGGAAGGGGAGGGGCTGGAGCGATATAGCACAGCAGGTAGGATGTTTGCCTTGCACACGGCTGACCCGGGTTCGATTCCCAGCATCCCAGGTGGTCCCCTGAGCACCGCAAGGAGTAATTCCTGAGTGCAGAGCCAGGAGTAACCCCTGTGCATCGCCAGGTGTGACCCAAAAAGCAAAAACAAACAAACAAACAAACAAACGAAGGAGAAATGCACTTAACCTGAAATGTAGGTTTCTCTAACTGGGCCCAAAAGAGCTTTTTACATGGTTTTGCTCAGCATTGTAAATAGGAGGAATTTGCCTAACTTGCCTAGAATTACTATAGCTCTCACTGTACAAATTCTTGTGGGAGAGAATAGAATGGGAGCCGTTTTTGATGAAGGAGAATGGTGAATTCTAACCTTTGTTGCAGCTTTGGTATCTTTCCAATGCTACTAGCAGCTCACCCTGTTGACAGCTGTCCTGACTGCACATCTGGAGTCCACTCTTTGAGTTTTGGCAGCTGTACTAATAAGTGCTTTTAGAGAGCTATTAATCTTTAAAAAAATTTCTTTTTGAAATTAAAAAGAGCCATCATTTACAAAGTGATTGATAGATGAGTCTTAGGCATATAATATTTCAACACCAGTCCCACCATCAGTGTCAAGTTCCCTCCTTCAGAGTTCCCATGCTCCCTCCTGCCCTCTGCCCTTGTCCTCCCCACCACACTCCGGCCTGACAAACTTGACAGGTACATTTCAAAGTTCAGTGGCTGTATTTTAGGTCTCATAATTACAGGGTGGTTGGGTTTATGATTCAGATATGTAGCTATACCACTCTCCCGTATCACCCGTATACCTGGGGTCTAGGGCTGTAAACATTTATTTGGTTCTTTGTTTGGGGGTGACATCCAGTGGTGTTTAGGACTCACTCCTGGGCTGAGCTCAGGGGTCATTCCTGGTGGGGTTCTGGGACCACGTGGGATGCTGGGGATAGAACCTCAGTAGGCTTTGAGCAAGGTAAGCACCCTACCTGCTATGCTACTGCTCTGGCCCAAGGGCTATCAATTTAAGAAGAGAAAAGAGCAGCAGCAACAAAACAACAGAAAAAGGAAACAAAGAACTCTGTCCTTTGTTCCTTTGTTCCTTGAAACTTGCATTAGAATACATCTTTAAGGGGAAAAAAAAACACCTAGGCAGTAAGATCATGAGAACTACCTAGAGAAATGAAGCTGGACAGGTGCGGTGGGAATTGGTATGTAGGGGAGGCATTTTAGATGAGGGAAAGGCCTTTACTTTTTATTTTTTATTTTTTTGCTTTTGGGGTCACATATGGCAATGCACAGGGGTCACTCCTAGCTTTGCTCTCAGGAATTACTCCTGGCGGTGCTCAGGGGACCATCTGGGATGCTGGGAATCCAACCCGGGTCAGCCGCGTGCAAGGCAAATGCCTTACCTGCTGTGCTATCACTCTAGTCCCAGGAAAGGCCTTTTTACTGTGGTCTTGTTTCTGCAGTGGAAGTTCACAGAATGAACTGTGTGGGTGTCTGGAGAAGCTTGGTGTTCCAGAGACTGAAAAAATGCAGACATTAAAAAAAAATGTTTTAAATGTTTAGTGCTCAGGGTTACTCCCAGTTCCCAACTTGAGGATTTTGTTTGTTTGTTTGTTTTTTGTATTTTTTGTTTCTTGGGTCACACCCGGTGATGCTCAGGGGTTACTCCTGGCTCATGCACTCAGGAGTTACTCCTGGTGGTGCTCGGGGAACGTATGGGATGCTGGAAATCAAACCCTGGTTGACCAGGTGCAAGGCAAACACCCTACCCACTGTGCTACTGCTCCAGCCCTTTAAGGGTCATTCTTGGTGGTGCTTGGGGCAACTTGCAAAGCCAGATATCAAACCCTGGCCTTTGACATGCAAAATAAGTGCTCTAGTCCATTGAACCATTGGCCCAGGAAGAGAAGCTTTGAAGTAAAGCATGGTTGACCTGTCTGAGGATGGGCTTGAAAGCCAGCATGCCTACAACAGTGCCGGGGGAATAATTAGTGGAGGAGAGGGATTTAAAACAAAACAAAACCAAAAAACCCAGAAAGACTAAGAACACAGAGCACTGGGTAGTTACGAAAACTTTGGTCCTGAGGGGAAATAGCAGCCAGGAACTCTCCTCAAAAGGTTCCCTGTGGAATGTAAACCTCAGGGGAGCCAGGAGGTGGGAGATAGGACCTGGCTTATCCTAGTAATTTAGATGAGAAATGGTGAGGGCCTGAGCCAGGGTGGTAGTGATCAAAGCAGTTGGAAGCTGGATGGACTGGGAAGGTAGAGTCAATATAAAGATTGGCAGTGATGAGTTGGGAGAGAAAAGTCAATGATGGCTTTGAAGGGGTGAAAGTTTGAGCCACAGAAAGAAGTTTCCTTATTGCTGTGGGAGTGCCACATCTATGTCCAGGAGCTGTGCATCTCTGTCTCTGCCTGACTCTGGCGCTACCTGTTGAGGGAGGTGTTGCTGTAGATGATCTCATGTGGGTATCGAAAGGAGATAGAAGTCTATCTGGACACTGGCCTTGAAGTTGTCCCTGAGACCGAGGAGAGGACGAGGTCCCAGCACAGGGTCACAGCACAGGGGATCAAGAAAAAAATCGGGCAAAGGAGAAGGAAAAACCACAGGTGATTTTGCCCAGGAAACCAAATGAAGAGGAACTTTTGAGAAGTTTAACTCTGCGCCATCCTGACATCAGACTTGAGTGTGAGGACTGATACTACCCATCAGAGCAGGTGACAGGACCTTAATACAGGAAGGATGTGGGGCTGGAGCAATAGCACAACAGGTAGGGCATTTGCCTTGCACAGGGCTGAGCTGGGTTTGATTCCCAGCATCTCATGTGGTCCCCTGAGCACCGCCAGGAATGATTCCTGAGTGCAGAGCCAGGAGGAACCCCTGAGTATCACTGGGTGTGACCCAAAAAGCAAAAAAAAAAAAAAGACAGGGAAGATGTGTCAGGACAGAAGCCAGACTAGTGAGGAAAAAGAGGAAGTAGGACAAATTGCTTATTTGCTTGTTAGTTCTTTTGGCTGAAGCCAAGAGAGCTGGTGAGTCCCTAAAGCCTGGATGTCAGTGTTGGGGAGTGTTTTATAGTTTTCAGTAGTTTTGAAAGTTTCACGGTGTTTGTGTGTTGATTGGAATGACCTAAAATGTGGGGGGAAATTTTTGTTGAGGGAAAGCCTTGGAGGCAATGAGGTTTTAACATGCCCAAGCAGAAGTGGAAACTCTCTTAAGATAGGAACATGGCAAGTTGATGTGTAGCAGCAGAGGGTGGGAAGGGTTGTAGGGAACCTGGTGTTCATAGGGGAGATACAGATGATAGACAGGAAGCTGATTCCTGTTGTTTCAGTTTTTTTTCTTTTTGGGTCACACCCAGCAATTCACAGGGGTTACTCCTGGTTCATGCACTCAGGAATTACTCCTGGCCATGCTCAGGAGACCATATGGGATGCTGGGAATTGAACCTGGGTCGGGCGCATGCAAGACAGACACCCTACCCGCTATGCTTTCACTCCAGCCCCGTGTTTCAGTTTTCTTAAGGAAAGACTGGGCTGAAGAAATTAGCTTGTTTGCATGTTCTTCTGAGCTATCTTTATACAGGGAAATCTTCTCTTTGGACAGATTCAGTCCTCCATTTCTGGCCTCTGTCATCTGGAAGAGCAAAGAGAATGGACTCCCCTGCTGTCCCAAAGCACTGCAGTGTGGGTCAGGGAATGAATCCTGGAGGGAAAGCTGGAAGCTGTCTGCAACCACCTTAACCCCTGTACTATTTTTTTTTTTCTTTTCTTTTTGGGTCTCACCCAGCGATGCACAGGGGTTACTCCTAGCTCTGCACTAGGAATTACTTCTGGTGGTGCACAGGGGACCATATGGGATGCTGAGAATTGAACCCGGGTTGGCCTCGTGCAAGGCAAATGTCCTACCTGCTGTATTATCACTCCAGCCCTCCTGTACTATCTTTTTTTTTCTTTTTGTTTTTGGGGATTTTTATTTTTTATTTATTTATTTATTTATTTTTTATTTTGGGCCGGGTTGGAGCGATAGCACAGTGGTAGGGCATTTGCCTTATAAGCAGCCAACATGGCTGACCCGAGTTCGATTTCTCCGCCCCTCTCCGAGAGCCTGGCAAGCTACGAGAGTATCTCACCCACAGCAAAGCCTGGCAAGCTACCCAAGACGTATTTGATATGCCAAACACAGCAACAATTGTTACAGTGGAGATGTTACTGGACCCGCTTGAGCAAATCAATGAACAACGGGAGGACAGTGACAGTGATTTGGGGCCACTGCAGATGATGCTCAGGGTTTACTCGTAGCTCTGCACTCAGGAATCACTTCAGGCGGTACTCAGGGTACCACAAGCGATGCCAGGGATCAAACCGGGTTGTCTGCATGTAAGGCATCATTCTGGCTCCTGTACTATCTCTTTAGCCCTGATTTTTCTTTTTTAAATAATGACTTTTGAATAGATCTTATAAATGAAGTAAAGGTTTCAAAATACTTTTTTGATCTTTACCCGCTCGAGCAAATCGATGAACAATGGGAGGACCGTGACCGTGACTATCTAGCTTAAGGTTCTGCAGACTAGTGCTTCATTACCCCTATATTAGCCACAAAAATGCAGACCCTTCTTTAAGAACCTTTTGATAGAAAGGTTTTATTTTTATGCTAATCATCATTTCGGGATTAACACCTCACCTATTAACACTTGTATGTTTCTAGGAAAATAGGAAGCTCTTTAAGGCCAATCCTTCTTTGGATACATGGAAGATTTATGTAGAATTCATTGATGACATCGTGGTGGAAGGATTTTTTCAAGCTATACTGCACGACTTAGACTTCTTTCTGATGAACACAGAGAAACAACTGAAACCTGCACCATTTTTTCAAGCACAGATGATCTTAATGCCCCCTGAGATTCTGTTTAAACCGTCTTTAGAAAAAGAGGCTGGCGATGGCTTCTATGACTTGGTAGAAGAAATGCTTTGCAATAGTTTCAGAATGTCTGCCCAGATGAAACGTGTAGCAGAACATCTGGAAATAGAAAATTATCAGGTATTTCCTTCATAAATGGAAAGCAGCTTTTATATTAGTGGCTCAAAAACAAATTACAGGAGTCATGAGCTTAAGCAAAGTAGATTTTGAAAAACGTACCATGGGCACCAGGAGGACTTGGTCTACGATAGGAAGCTTGCCACAGAGGGGGAAGGGAAGTGCAGTTAGGACAGAGAAGGGACCTCTGTGACAATGATAGTTGGAAATGATCACTCTGGACAAAAGCTGAGTGCTGAAAGGAGGGAAAGTGATATTCTTTCAATAACAGTATTGCAAACTGCAGTGCCTGAAAGTTAAAGAGAGAGATGTCTGCCATAGAGGTAGGCTGCAGGGTGGTGATCAGGTAGACTGAAGGAAAACTGGGGACATTGGTGATAGGAATTGTGCACCTGTGAAGGGATGGGTATTAGAACATTGTACGGCTGAAACTCAATTATGAACTTGTAACTGTATTTCTCATGGTGATTGAATACTTTAAAAAAGAATTAAAAAATAAAAGAAGAATGTGCCATGGAGGTTTATTTTATCCATCAGTGTCCCTTTGAAAAATTGCCGTGGGTACTGTTATTGATAGAGCCAGGCTGGCTTACATAAGTGCTCGGTTTCCTCTCCTTTAGAATGACATGGATAACATGACTGGCCTGGCAGAGGTCAGGCAGGAGATAATGAAAAGAGTGTCAGATGTCATCAACAAAGTCTTGGACTTTAGAAATACCTTGGACACATATGCTTACCTCTGGGTGGATGACCGAGCTGAGTTTCTCAAGCATTTTCTCCTGTATGGCCAAACTCTGTCATCTGAGGAGATAGACACTCATGCCAATGATGAAATTCCTGAACAGCCCCCCACTCTGGAACAGTTCAAAGAGCAGGCAAGGAAAACCCTTAGTTCTTTAATGTAGTTACAGACTTTGAATTGGATTGGGTGTTTATGGTGTTTTTTTCCCATTACAGATTGACATTTATGAAGCTTTGTATGTTCAGATGAGCAAATTTGATGACTTCCGAGTGTTCGATAGTTGGTTCAAGGTGGACATGAAGCCCTTCAAAATGAACTTGCTGAACATCATTAAGAAATGGAGCTGGATGTTTCAGGAGCATCTTCTGAGATTTGTTGTCGACAGGTAGCCTCCTGTACTTTGATATTTGCAATTCTAACCTTTAATATCTAATTACTTTCTAAAATTGAGGTATTTATTTCAAGAGCATTACAATGGTCAGTTTTATAATAGAATGTCTAATGTTGAACTAGGCAAATAATGAAAATATCATTTAATCCTATGTGTGACATATGCTTCTGAATGTTTAAGGAGTTTAATTTATGTCTTAGTGTATGTTTGTATGTACATATGTATGTTAATATTGATATGTATATGTATTAGTCTGAATGAGCTGCAAGAATTTATCAAGGAGACAGATGCTGGACTTCAGAGAGGATTGAGGGAAGGCAATCATGATGGTTTAGTTGATATCATGGGGCACCTTCTGGCTGTAAGAAGCCGACAGAGAGCTACTGATGAACTCTTTGAACCGCTGAAAGAAACTATCACACTCTTGGAAACTTATGGCCAAATGATGCCTGAGCAAGTCTATATTCAACTAGAGGTAAGTATCGTGGTCATCTAGTCTTTTTTTTTTCAGTCATAATGGTATTTATTTTATTTTGTGCCTTTTATATATATACATATATATTTTTAAATTTTTATTAGTGAAACACCATGAGGTACAGTTGTAGATTTACAAATTTTTGTGCTTGGGTTTCAGTTATACAGTGATCGAGTACCCATCCCTCCACCAGTGCTCATTGATCCCAGTATCCTTCCCGCCCTGTCCCATCCGCCTCTATAGCAGGGCATTCCCTTTTGTTCTTTCTCTCCTTTTGGGTGCTGTGGTTTGCAAAAGAGGCATTGAGTGGCAATCATGTTCAGTTTATAGTCTACTTTCAGCATGTATCTCCAATCCTGGGAGGATCCTCCCAACATCCTTTACTTGGTGCTCCCTTCTCTATCTGAGCTGCCTTTTCCCCTAGCATGTGTGGCTGGCCTCCAAGCCATGGAGTGAACCTCCTGGTACTTATCTCGACTATTCTTGGGTGTTAGTCTCCTATTTGGTTACTTTATATTCCCCAAATAAATGCAATCTTTCTATGTCTGTTCCTCTTTTTCTGATTCATTTCACTTAGCATGATACTTTCCATGTAGTACTATTTGTATGTAAATTTCATGACTTCATCTTTTCTAACACCTGCATAGTACTCCATTGTGTAGGCGTACCAAAGTTTCTTTAACCAGTCATCTGTTCTAGGGTAGTCGGAGTTTTTACATTTTTTGGCTATTGTGAACAGTGCTCGAGCGGGCCCAGTAACGTCTCCATTGGAGACTTTGTTGTTACTGTGTCTGGCATATTGAATACTCTCGGTAGCTTGCCGGGCTCTTTGAGAGGGGCGGAGGAATCGAACTCGGATCGGCCATGTTGGCCGCGTGTAAGGCGAACGCCCTACCCGCTGTGCTATCGCTCCAGCCTGTGAACAGTGCAGCAATGAACATAGAAGTGCAGATGTCATTTCGACTATACTTTTTTGCCTGTCTGGGATTATTTCCAGAAGGGGTATTGCTGGGTCAAATGGGAGCTGAATTTCTAATTTTTTGAGAATCGTCTATACTGTTCTCTACAAGGGCTGAACCAGTCGGCATTCCCACCAACAGTGAAGGGGAGTCTCTTTCTCACCACATCCACTCCAACACCAGTTACTTTTGTTCTTTTGGATGTGGGCCAGTCTCTGTGGTGTGAGATGATATCTCATTGTTGTTTTGATCTGCATCCTCTTGATGATTAGCGATGTAGAGCATTTTCTCATGTGCCTCTTAGCCATTCGGATTTCTTCTTTGAGAAAGTTTCTGTTCATTTCATCACCCCATTTTTTGATGGGGTTGGATGTTTTCTTCTTGTGGAGTTCAATCAGTACTTTTTATATCCTTGATATCAAACCCTTGTTGGATGGGTATTGGGTGAATATCCTTTCCCATTCTGTAGATTGTCTTCGTATACTGGTCACTGTATCTTTTGAGGTGCAGAAGCTTCTTAATTTAAGATAGTCTCATTTGTTTATCTCTGTTTCCACTTGTTTGGTCAGTGTAATGTCGTCTTTGAAGATACCATTAGCCTCAATATCATGGAGGGTCAGCTAGTCTTAATTGCCATAAATCAAGGATTTCTTGTATTCAACTTCTTAGCCTTATTCTCTCCTGGCATCTTTGTTGCCATAAGGTGCTATAGTCATTAGTGGTTCACTTATGTTGTTTCTAGCTCTGGGATATAGCAAATTGTGCTGTTATGAACATTTCCTTCAAGTTTTTGAGTATTAATTTTTAGTAAAGATCGGTGGGATTTACGGGTATACAGTAATTCTATGTTTAACTTTCTGAATAACTGTCACATTGTTTTTCACAATGATTGCTCAGTTTTATGTGTCTCATTTTGTTTTGTGAGGATCAAATTCAGTAGTTTACTTATAAATGCCCTCTTTCGTAAAGACTATGAAGAATTACTATATGATTTATGAAAATCTATTTAGGGGGCTGGAGTGATTATACAGTAGATAGACTCTTTCCTTCTATTTGGCCTATCTGGGTTCAATTCCTGGCACTCCATATGGTCCTCTGAGCCTGCCAAAAGGGATCTCTGAACACAAGCCTAGGTATAAACCCTGAGTATAATAAGGTGTGGCCCAGATACCAACCACCCCCCCGCCCAAAAAATCTATTTTAAAATTGCCCTGAGGACTGAAAATATAATCTTATGTGAGTCAGATATTTAGATATGTAGCAAGATGAAGTAGTTAAAGTATACCCTACTATAAAAATATTTTAGAAATATTTGTATATTTTTGTTCTGTATTATATTTGGGGAGGGTCACCCCTGGCTGTGCTGACCTGGCTCTTCCCTCAGGGATCACTTTTGGTAGTACTAGGGGATCTGTATAGTGCCAGGGATTGACCCCAGAGAGCAGCAAGGCAAGCACTCCACCTCCTGTACTATCTCCCTGACCTCCAAGTACTTGCATGCATTTTGGGACAGATCTTGGAACTTAATGTAAAGAAACCAGTCATACCACAGACTGTTGGTAAGGGGATAGATTTAACCATAGTCTTCAAAAGATAAATCATAAAAATTGAATTTACTACTTCAAGTAATGGGAGTCATGAAAATCTTAGGTTCTTCGTATTTCAAATGCAGGACACACTTCTAGCCTTGGTGTAATTACTTGTGTCAGTAATTCTGTCTGTTGAGGGGGAAAATCAGATTAATGGTCTGGGCAAGTGACATGTAGGAGATGCCCCACTTTTATTTTACTTGAAGCAACTTTTAATTTACTCTCAGTTTCTCCTTCCTTATCTCTCATTGATAGTTTTTATATGTTTCAGGCACTTGCCTGCTCTTGATTCTATGCTCAAAAACCCTTAGACTTGGATGTGTCCCGCCAACCTATTGCCAGTTCTAAGAAATCAGGTTAAACTTCTAACTTATGGAGATGATTGTGTTCCTTCCCTGCCAAGAAACTTTTGTTATTCATTCCCAGTTTCCTGGATACTATCACTTTCCTTAAGATTCCAAACTCACCCAGACTCTGCATTGGTAAACCTTGCTGGATCTCAACAAACTAACTAACTTTGCCTCTCGGAACCTTGTCAGTTCTCTGGAGCCTCAGATCTGGTGTGGCTTCTTTTTGGGGATCATATTTGTGAGAAAGATTTAGGAGGTTAGATGATATTTAGATTTCTTTTTATAAATTTTTTAGTTTTTTAATTTTTTGATTTTGGGGTCACACCTGGCAATGCTCAGGAGTTCCTCCTGACTGCACTCAGGAAATACTTCTGGTGGACTTGGGGATCCATATAGAATGTCCATATAGAAACCCTGGTCGGCAGCGTGCAAAGCAAACGCCCTACCCACTGTTCTATCACTCAGATCCCTGATATTTAGATTTGCAGCAGCATTTTCCCCTATAAGGTAGAGGGTTATTTGTGTCTGCAAACCTACTGTGATTGGACCACCAGTAGCTCGTGCTCGAATGTGGGTTTTGTTTTGTTTTTCTTTTTGGGTCACACCCGGCGATGCACAGGGGTTACTCCTGGTTTTGCACTCAGGAATTACTCCTGGCGATGCTCAGAAAACCATATGGGATGCTGGGAATCAAACCCAGGATGGCCACGTGCAAGGCAAAAGCCCTACCCACTGTGCTGTTGCTCCAGCCCCTTGAATGTGGTTTGATTGACACAAATTGCAGCATGGGTATCAACATGTTCAAGGGCTGGAGTTCATTGAGTGCCCTACAGAAAGAAGCATATGGCTTCCTGACCATGAGCCTGGGAGGAACTCCTGTAATATTTAGTTTCATGGGATCACTTGGAAAGGCAGAATGAGATTCTGTACCAATGGCAATGTTGAGTGTTGGTGGGATGAAGGGTGGAAGCACCAGATGGAATAAGGTTCAGCACCTGGATGTCTTGGTTCCTGGATGGGCTTTGGATTTTGGACACTGAGGTCTCTTCCCAAGGATTTTGGGTCCCCAGTGGAAATTCACATGTGCAGCCAGGCAGAGTCAGTCCTGTGTGTGCCACTCATGTGCAGTTGAAGGCAGAGAATGACTTCTACCTTTCTTGAGCTCCTCTGCCACATAGTCACGATTTATACTGGACACTGTATTCTAGTGCTTCATAATTGGTGGTTACCAAATCATCCATCAAATATTTATCAAGGGTTACAAAATAGTGTTTGGAACCCTTGTTTTTTTTATACTTCACCTGCTCAAATCAAGTTCCATTACCATGGGTGGTTTCCTGTGACAAAACAATTTCAGTGTCCCAAGAGCTGACCCAGAGGAACAATGCTTTTCTAGTCTGGACACAGAAATGCTTTTTGATAGCAATTATGCACAATGCCTTTTCAAAGAAAATAACTTGCTGTTTTACTATTTGCATTGTGGGCAGGGAGAACAAAGTTCTTTTGCTACCTGAACTGTTTTCTTGCTGCTTTTGTCCTATATGAAGTAGAGATTAACCTTGCCTTGTCTTTACCTCCTATTCCTGCAGAATCCCCAGTCTTTTTAAAATTAACCTAAGAACTCAATCTCTCCATCAAGACGGGGCACACATACAGCTTTGGGAACAAAAGGGAACTGAAGAATGAGATCAGGCACATTTTCAGCTCAACCCCACCAGATCTCTGGGCATCTTTTTCACCTGCTGACTTGCTAAATTTACCCTCACTTCTATTTTCTATTTCAATTTGTTAGAAGTCAGTGAAGTCATTGGCAGAGCCCTTTGATTTTATTCCCCCAACAGCAAGACAGTTTGGGAATTGTGTTTATTTTGAAAGGATTTTTGTTTATTCTGAGATAAATCTTACAGCAGAGCACAGCTTTGGTTTGTGTAGTAAAAGTATAAATCCAGAGGTACCAGGAGGTCTGCCTTGGTTTTTCTCTAGCTTTTTTCCTTTTTAGTTCCCCCTTTTTTTTAACTCCTCCTGTTAAAATAGTAAAGGGGTTACTCATCCTATGGGGTACTCCAAAATAAGCAAGACTATTTAACCCCATGGCACTGATTTGCACTACACATTGAAGTAATTTCCTACTTGCACCTTTGTTTTTGTAGGAATTGCCTGAAAGATGGGAAACTACCAAAAAGATTGCAGCCACAGTCAGACATGAAGTTTCTCCTCTCCAGAATACTGAAGTCACTCTTATAAGAAAAAAATGTGTTTTGTTTGATGTAAGTTAACTCCGACTTTTTTGTTAAATGTAAGGTTTTATAAGGATGAGTGAAGGTATTTGAGATTCACTTTGAGTTTTTGTTTTCTACCCTGAGCAGGAAAAGCAGGCTGAGTTCAGAGAGAGATTCAGATTCTATGCTCCTCTTGATTTCAATACAGAAAATCCATATGTCGTGCTTGACAAGGTAATTCTCATCTCAGTTATTTTGTGTGCATGTTATAGTCATTATTTTAGAAAATAAATTTTATGACTGGAGATGTAGGTCAGTGGTAGAGCTTTACATAGGTATCTGGTTTTGTCTCTGGCACTGAATGCGCATGCACACAAACACAAAAATACATGTGCAAACACAGACACACAAACGTGCACACAATATTTTAGATACTACGTATTGCTATAGGGCTAGAGCGATAGCACAGAGGGTAGGGCATTTGCCTTCCACGCAGCCAACCCCAGTTTGATTCCTCCGCCCCTCTCAGAGAGCCTGGAAAACTACTGAGTGTATCTCACCCGCACAGCAAAGTCTGGCAAGCTATCCATGATGTATTAGATATACCAAAAACAATAACAACAAGTCTCACAATTCGTTGTGAGACATTACTGGTGCCCACTGAAGCAAATCCATGAACAATGGGAGGACAGTGCAGTGCAGTGTATTTGCCTTAGTTTTGCAATTAGTTATAGGACTTGACCCAGACTGAATTATGAAAATTTTTCCTAAGCAAATTATATTGTCCTTTGAATTGTGTCTTTCAAACTCTTTTCTTCATCAAGGTAATCATACTAGTAAAAATAAAAACCCCGAATATTTAAAAATATTCAACATGTATTACATATGTAGTAAAGGTAAAGGTAAAAGGTAAAGGCCCTTCTGTTGATCGTCGATTTGCTCGAGTGGGCCCAGTAATGTCTCCATTGGAGACTTTGTTGTTACTGCGTTTGGCATATCGAATACTCTCGGTAGCTTGCCGGCCTCTCCGAGAGGGGCGGAGGAATCGAACTCGGGTCGGCCATGTTGGCCGCTTGTAAGGCGAACGCCCTACCGCTGTGCTATCACTCCAGGCCCTGTATCACTCCACGTATGTAGTAATATAATTATATATTTATATGTATGAGTCAAGACCTTTGTACTAAGATTGAACATTTTTTCTTTCAGTTCTTCAAATGTTTCTATGATATAGTTTCTATTATTCTCCTTTTCTCAGATAAAGATACCATATTTAGTTAAGTAACATGTTGATGATCACGCAGTGGAGAAGCTAATATTAATTCTGGGAGCCAGAGTGATAGCATACGGTACTGGAATGAATGCTTTGCATGCGGTGGCTTCAGGTTTAAATCCCAGTATTGCATGGCTCCTTGAGCATTTCTGGGAGTAACTCCTGAACACCTAGTGGCCTGAGCATTACCAAATGTGACCTTCAAATTAAAAAACAAAACACGCACAAAAATATTGTAGCTATCTACATTTTAAAAATTAGTAATCTTAACCATTATATGTTTCCCATGTGCATTCCTAGTCATTTTTAATAAAAGGTAAAGGTAAAGGCCCTCCCGTTGATCGTCGATTTGCTCAAGCGGGCCCAGTAACGTCTCCATTGGAGACTTTGTTGTTACTGTGTCTGGCATATCGAATACTCTCGGTAGCTTGCCGGGCTCTCCGAGAGGGGCGGAGGAATCGAACTCGGGTCGGCCATGTTGGCCGCGTGTAAGGCGAACGCTCTACCCGTTGTGCTATCGCTCCAACTCCTTTTAATAATAGGGAAGAATATCGATAACTTAGTAACTCTGTATACATGTATTATCAGGTCATTTGATCCTAGTTATAATGACAATTAATTTGGTTGAGTATAAAAATGGGTACAACTGGAAAATAATTTAAAATGGTGATATGATACTTTAAAGAAATGTTTGAAGCTCTATTGAAAAATGATCTGTTTCCTCAGGCATTCTTTACATAGCATTGGAATGAGACAGTGACTTTGTGAAGGTTAGATTCAGGAGCTTGTATTATTTTTTTAATGTAGGAGTATTGCTAATTATTTAGCCATTGATTAGGCTGATTGAATTGGGCATGGATTCCACCTCACTTTTTTTTCCTTTTTTTGTAAATGTATATATTGAATCACCGTGAGAGCAGTTACAAAGCTTTTGGGTTTAAGTCTCGGTCATACAATGATGAAACACCTGTCCCTTCATCTGTGCCCACTTTTCACCACCAAAACCCCCAGTATACACCCCATCCCACACCCTCCCCCTACTGTGGGGCAGATGATTTCCACATTACTCTCTCTCTACTTCGATTACAGTCAATATTTCCACACCAGACCCACCATTATTAATTTGGAATTTTACCCCAACACTCAGATCTGCTGAAAAGGCAACAGTAAATAATTTGTATTCAATTGCTGGTTATGAGTAACATATGATGTCACATGGCCACAGTAGTGGCTGTGCAATTTTGGAATTCTGAAATTTTAACAATTAAATCTGGAGGGATTTCTGCCAAAACCAGCTGGGTTCCGAGACTTGTTCCTCAATTTCTTGGATCATGGCTGTTAAGCAGCTTGATCAGGAGCCAGAGAGGCCGTTCATGGGTGGTGACTAGGGATATCTTTGGGGTGGGGAGGAAAGGGCTGGCTCCACCCCCATCCCACCCCTCATGTCACATCACTGAGGTTCCAATCCTGACTGTCCAATGACCTCTGGAGTATGGCAGCCACCGAGCTGCCTAGGGGGAGCTGCCTAGAGGGAGCAGGCCCCTGGGGTGGCCTGGCGCTGGTTACCTACTGCAGGGATTGTCATGCATTTCTTCCAAAAGCCTATGGGTTCTGAGATTTGTCTCAGAATCTCTGGGATCATGGCTTTTAAGCAGTTCGATCAGGAACCAAAGAGGCCTTGCCTCCAGTTATATAGCTGAGCTGGAGGTGGTTTGTGGGTGTGTCTCCCACATACCTAACTTTTGGCTGTTTACTTTCTTGGTAAACTTTACCCCAAGTTTTTGGGGTCTGGCCAAAGGCACAGAAGCACTTTGGGGGCATCTGGAAGTCTGAAGGCACCATCATGCTGCTGATGTACTTGCCTCACAGGTACAGATTGACCTGCTGGCGGCACCATACCTCCAAAGGAATTCTAAGATTTTAACAACTAAATCTGGAGGGATTTCTGCCCAAACATGCTTGGTTCTGAGATTTGTTCCTGAGTCTCTGGGTTCATGGCCATTAAGCAGCTTGATCAGGAGCCAGAGAGGCCATTCATGGGCAGCGACCTGGGGTCTCGTTGGGGCAGGGAGGAAAGGGCTAGCTCCACCCCCATCCTGTGAGGCCCCGTGTGTCTTGTCACTGCGGGCCCAAACCTGACTTTCCAGTGGCCTCTGGAGGATGGCGGCCACCAAGCCGCCAGGGGGAACAGGCCAAGGTACAAAACCTATTCCCACATGGGGTGGCCTGGTGCCGGTAACCTACTGTGGGGACCAGATGCATTTCTAATAAAAGCCGTTGGTTTCCGAGATTTGTTTCTGAGTCTCTTGGCCCTTAAGCAGCTTGATCGGAGCCAGTGGGCAGTGACTCAGGGTCTTGACTCAGGGTCTTGTTGGGGGAGGAAGGAAAGGGCCGGCTCCACCCCCATCCTGTGAGGCCTCAGGAGCATTTTTGCAGGTTTATTTTTTTTTGGTATGTGAACCACATCCAGATGCTACATCTGGCTCAATGTTGGGATGTTGCTTCCATTGCTCAGAAGACCATTTGGGAACAAACCTAAGGCCCCCATGCAATCTATGTGCTCCAGTCTTCACTCTCTCCTGCCCTGTTTTTGAGTTCTTTATCTGGGCTCTTTTTCCACTTTCCTGTCCTTCCTGGATCTGATTCCTGACCCTTCTCTCAAGGATCACTTCTGGCAAGGCTCAGGAGACCATATGGGGTGCCGAAGATTGAACTTGGGTAAGCCACATGCAAGGCAAGTGGCTTACTTGCTGTATGATTGTATGAACCCCCTTCACACATTTTTTGAGGGAGGTCACACCCAGAGATGCTCAGGGTTTTACTTGTGGCTCTGCACCCAGGAATTACTCTTGGCAATGCTTAGAGGGACCAGATGGGATGTCAGGACTCAAACCCGAGTCTGCCACATGCAAGGAAATGCTTTAGCCACTATACTATGGTTCTGGCTACATTCACTTTTTTTTTCTTTAACCAGGTGTTGGAGGTAGTCTTTTTTTCTTTAGATTGGTATAAAACTTGCCATTCGCATGCTTACACTTTTATTGCTCTTACACCATTTGGGGTTGAATTTAAATTTTAGTTGACTTGAAGCCATTCAGTTATCATTATCCTTTACCCTAATGTCTTCTCTTTTACTTTACTGAGAAAAGTGGTTAACATGTTCTTAAAAGAGAGTGGTTAGAGAATACTAATAGAGTTGTGGTTTCTAAAAGATTGTATATAAACTGCAGATTTATATACAAAAGATGTATATAAATATATCTATATATTGTACAATATAATATACAATATATTTATATATTGTATATAAATATATGCTGGAGTGATAGCACAGCGGTAGATATTTATACAATATAAATATAAAATATATTTATATATTGTATATAAATATACTTATTTATATACAAGATTGTATATAAATATATCTCCTTTATATACAGGAGATATATTTCCTTGGCTAACCAATGAAATGTGTATAAACATGTACTATAGTTCTCATTTAATGTATCTTGTCGTTTTCATGCTATAGTTATATATTTACAAATCAGAGATGTTTAGCATTGTACCTAAAGAAAATGTTGAGATGTGCTAGTGCTGGTTTATTTTTCCTCTTTTTCTTTAAAATCTTATTAAGTCACTGTGATTTAAGGTGCTGTTAGTGTCAGGGTTTCAGGCTTCAGCGCACCAACCCCAGACCCTCCATCAGAGTGGCTGCTTCTTTCCACCATTGTCTAAGGGGCCCTCTGAGCCTCTTCCACCTGCTGTTTCCCTGCCATGGTCATCTCAGTTCTTTAGACCACCTCACAGATTGTATTGCTTTGGGTAATTTGTTATTTACTTACCTTGCTTATTTATATCCCAAACATGGGGGAGTTAATTCTGTATCTGTCCCTCTCCATCTGACTTCATTCAGCCTGATACCTTCCAGTTCTATCTATATAGCAGAAAATTGCATGAGTTAATA